CCAAGGGGCGGCGGCGCCAGTGAGAGAAGGCAGTGAAACAGTTGTTCGTGAGAACGCATGATTTTGGGTCAGCGGGACTTGGAGAACGAAGGGGGGAGAAGTCGTGTGGCTCCCGCCACAATATCAACCGACAAAACAACGAGCCCGTGATGCAATGGTGTAGAGTAGCCAACTCAATGAACAAAGGTCCCGGGCTCGAATCACGGGGATTCTGACCCCTGAGATTGGGTATGACTGGCTGATAACGGTTAACAAGCCAGAAATCGCCATCCCGGTCTCCCTTTGTTTTGTCGGATCCCCTCCATCCATCCCCTCTATCCTATCATAGTCACTATGTGATGGCCTGCGCAGGCTCTAATGTGAGTTCCAGCGTGAAAATGGAACTTATTTGTTCCATTACCAGATCGGCGATGGCCACATATTCATAACTACTTCGCTAAACGAGAAATCCGGTAATACATTTACAAATTAGCGAAGACGTATATGGATGACTGTTTTTCTGCTCTGAAGCCGTTGCTTATCAACTGTCAAAATGTCGATGGAAATTTGAGGTTTTGTTGTTTTTCAACTCCAAAAGTTGCAGTGTAGTCCTGCGAAGGCCTCTTTGAGGCTAAATATGACAGAAAATAGTTTTCATCAAAGCCTACAACTGTCATTTCCGTCCTTGAATTTTTTCTGTTTTATTCTACGATTTGGTCGTATGCACACGGAATCGACTAGGCTGCTTCTTTCCCAAGCTTGCAACTTTTGGATTCATGCAGCCATCCCTACTTCGTGGAAAATTTATACTTAAAACTGCCGACCAAGTAGACTGAAGCAATCCAGACCAGACACAATATTAATGAGTAATTGCCACACACTGAAGCAGTCAACTCGAGAGGGGCCACAACAACGCCCTGTTTAGTCCTCTAAGGTAGTTCACTGCACGATGCAAATCAGCGGCTTCCGGGTGCTGGACAAAATCAGACAGCCGGAATTTCCAAAAATTACTCGGACTTCCGTTGTGCCGCCGGAGTATTGCCACACACGACGTGTTCATCTATCTAGTTTCGCAGTATACAAAGAATATTAATTAATAATGTCCAGTGGAATATCGGTAGCGTGTTTAGTACGTGATCAACCGTCGTTCTCAGGGTAGGCGTCTGCGATTGATCCATTCGTGAAACTTAAATACTCTGCAGACCAGCTCCCTCTTTGGGGTAGATGCGCAGTAGAAGATTACTCTTACATCTCATTTAATGAAAGAGCTGCACGAAGGGGTCGAACGTACTGATATATCGCCCCCCCCCGCTCGAAAGGACACGGGAATGGGACCGCCACCCACGTATTACACGTAACCTTGCGCCAAATTTCAGGAGAGCTAACAATTATCACCTTCTGACCCCCAAACTTAACCCTAAATTTTCCGGATTCTTGCGCAAGGCCTATAAGCGTTCCATATCCCCGAAGAAAATCATAGACCGCATAACTCCAGAGCATGAAGCCCTGGTAGCTACAAGTTTTGGTAAAAATAAAATCGGCTGTGCCCCTTTAGATATCCCCAGCCCCAGGATTCTGTCTTACGGGACTGGTGTTAATAGAGGCTTTGGAGTTAGATCATATCTCAGTAAAGGAAATGAAAAAAGAAATTTAAAAGGAGGAAGTAAAAAAGCAGAAAATAATAGGAATGCTTATTAAAATGTTATAATTTCTGGCGCGCGATAATTAAAATGACGAACACAGCCAATAGGAAACAAGAACTGCGCAAAAGTACCTGCAAATAGGCTAGACGTCAACATCAACTCTATATTTAACTTTGGAGGTTAGAATAAAACCAAGAAAGATAGGCTCATCCCCATTTTTTAAAAAGTCACAGTAGCTTCTAATGCATTCGGACAGATATCGTAGTACGATAAGTCGAAAGGCAATTACATGTCGCTTAAAAAATAAATCAAATTAGAAAGTAAACCAACTAAAACTGTAACTCTTATTAAACTATTAAACTTAAGTAAAAATAAAATTGATAAAGATAAAAGTAGCGGCAGGAAGCTAAAGATTTCCGTGTTGGCGGGTTTAAGTATGCCTACTAAAATGTATATAGTAGTTATTCAAGTATAGTTTTCGAACGCCCATGGGCAACTTAACCATTACCAAAGTTTTACTCTTGGAAGCAGTTTACATAGGTTAAAATACAGTTCTAAGGCAAGTGCCACAGCCCTCTTCGACTTTTAGTGGTCAAGAAGCTTATTTGTTACACAAAAATTCCCAGGAAAAGTAGCTTTCCGCCGGCAATATTGCTTAATTTAGCATTCCATACATTTTTTGTAGTCAAGGTGAATGAAGCAACTTACCTTGGCCCTCGCATTAACTTCAGCCTTTGCTTCCAAAAAAAGTTTGGTAAGTTCCGCACTTCCCTCCTGTGCAGCCAGGTGTAGTGGCGTGAATCCGTTTCGTGACTCCGCTCTGGGATCTGCCTTGGCACGAAGAAGCATCCGTGCTATCTCTACCTGACAGCGATGGGCTGCCACGTGCAACGGCGTGTAGCCGTTTGTTGTCTGCTGTGTCGTGGATGCCTAGAAAAAGAGAAAGCAGTAGCGGGAAAAGTCCAGATCAGTTCAAAAGCCAACCAGCCTAATAAGCTGTCTCATTTAACCCATTACCTCTCGGTGATCTCATATAAGATCACTTAAAAATTAAGA